CGGCCGTAGGGAGCGGGGAAGGGTGAATGGCCAGTGCCGACATTTTTCTTTCTTTGACACCTGCAGTTGCCCGTCGGAGACTCTCCCTGTGGCTTTGACCCAGTGGAATTTTGAAGGACAAAAGGTCTGTCCGTGGGAGACTAATCCCTCCTTGACTCCATTCAACCCCTCAGGCCCTTGGACTTACTGGAGCTACTCACACTGCAGGAGGCTGGGCCCTGCCCTCAGGGGGAGGTGACAGGTACCCGATTTGTGTTTTCCAGGCTCAAATCCCATCACGGGTCCAGAGGAAGTGAGTGGCATGGAACGGGGCTCCCTGACTGTGCCGTGTCGCTATGATCCAGGGTGGAAGACCTACAGGAAGTGGTGGTGTCGAGGAGCTGCTTGGAGTAGCTGCCAGATCCTTGTTCAAACCACTGGATCAGAGCGGGAGGAGAGGAAGGGCCGTGTGTCCATCATGGACAGTCAGGGAAACTTCACGTTCACCGTGACCATGGAGGAGCTCAGGCTGGACGATGCAGACACCTACTGGTGTGGGATCGAGAGAGCCGGAACCGACCTGGGCCACCATGTCCGTGTGCTCATCAGCCCAGGTAGGAACTGCTCCCTCCTGTACGCCGAGGCCCCGGTACTGACCTGTGGAGAATGCAGACTTTACCCTCTGTCTGCTCCGACAGATGGAGAAAAGCCCCAAGACTGTGTGTGTGTGTACTTGTGCGTGTCAGCGTGCACACAGCTGTGCGTGCACGAGGGGGTATACGCCAGGAGCCTGGGAAGCCGGAAAGCAAGTGGGAGCCTCAGCACGGCCCACGTCTCCACGTAGTGTCATCAGAGGGCGCAGAGAAAGACAGGCTCGACTTGGACAGGTTTGACCAGGAAAAGCAGGTCTTCTGTTGCAGGTCATTTGAGCATCATATCTAGCCCCAGAGCAGCCCCGGCCTGACCAGGGGCCTGGCCGGCTGTGCAGAGAGGGTGGGGTGCCAGAAAGCTGTGATCCTGAGGGTCTCAGCTGCAGGACAAGCGACCCTCCTGTCCCTTCTCTGGCAACACAAGGGCAAAGGACAGGGTGAGGGACTCTGAACTCATTACTGGCAGAAGGTCAGGCTCCCACAGGCTCCTCTGAGCCTCGAAGGGGATTCGGGGCTCAGCCACGCCTGCCCCGGAGGCACCAGTGCCTCCCTCAGGACAGAGGCCTGAGAAGAGAGTTGGTTCGTAGCCCCCACCCCCCAGCTCCACTGTAGAGGCTTCAGTCTTGTCTCCACTTTGGGTACCAGGGAACCCCCCGTCCCCCACACCATGTCCTCCCTAAACATACCCACGGACACTAGGTAGGTGACAGTTCGGTCTTTCATAAGCCCATTTATAAACAAGAGAAAAGTCTTTCCACCCTCGTAGATGCAAATATGGTGTGTATGGTGCGTGCAATGGGGAGGTATGCTGGCTTTAGAATGTTCCAGAAATTAACTGGGAAAGACAACAAAGGTGGGATGGATACGTGGAAGATTGGGGGAGGAGTTGGCACAGGGTGAAGTGGCGGCTGGGACCCTCCAAGCCAGACAAGTCTCCACGGAGCGGCTTCATCTGCTGAAATGAGGATGTGCAGGGAGGCAGGAAGGGCTCACGGGGAAGGCAGAGGCTGCTGGCCCTCCGCCCGATGGCCGGGGAGTCCCGGGCGGCCAGCCCCATGCGCCACCGGCTTCAGGGCAGGTGGCACAGAGCCTGCTTCACCCTGGCTGGTTTGGAACTCCGAGGGCTGGGCACATGGCTCCTGCAGTCCGGGCTGTGCCAGGCAGGGCTCTGAGATTCAACCGAACCTCTGTAAATCACCTACAGAGCTTGCCGCCCCAGATCCCTCGTGCAGTGACGAGGAGGTGCTTCTCTCTAAATGAAGTAATGTTCTGTTTTGGATAAGAAACCAAAACGATGCTAGGGAAGACCGATGTGGCCGACCGGTGGTGCTGAGAGAAAGCTTCTTGATCCCTGAATGAGGGGTGTGGAGAAGGCCATGGGGAGCCCCCTGAGTCACCCTCAGAGATCTGCTTTGCTCTGTGCATTTAGTAGTAAAACCAACAAACCTGTCCATACTGTTGACAACAAACACGACTGTCCCTATGTCAACACAAATGGCCGAACCTGTGACGACAGATGTGGCCGAACCTGTGACGACAGATGTGGCCGAACTGGTGACGACAGACGTGGCCGAACTGGTGACAGCATCTGCACTGGCCAGTCTGGCTTCCTCGCCTCCGGTTACTCAGGGTGTCAACAGCAGCATGGCTGTGACTAATCCCCTCACCAGGTGAGCAGAGCTGGGACCCAGCAGACCTTTCCCACGTCCGCCCCGTGACTGGTCCCCTAGGGCCGCTCTGTCAGGGACCCCCATGTGGCCCCCTGGTGTTGCCAGTGCAGGGGAGAATCGGCAGAGTCGGCACTGGACCTCCCCCGCACCCCACTTCCTACGTGAACCTAAATAAGGCTCTCCGGCTGGGCTGCAGCAGAGAAGGCTCTGGTCTTCCTCTGACCTGACCCCTCGCCCCCCGAGAAGCAAAAGGAAGTATAGCGGAGTTCAACCCCAAGTAAGCTAGAAGGGAAGTTCTCCAGATTAGTTTCCTGTGGTTGCTGTAACCAATTACCACTAACTTGGTCACTTAAAACAACACAGTTTTATGATCTCGTAGTTCTGGAGATGGGAAATCTGAAATGAGTCTCATTGGGCTAAGTTCCTCTGGAGGTTCTGGGGAAGAATCATTCCCCGACAATTCCAGCTAATAGAGGCCTCCTACATTCCTTGGCTCACGGCCCCCTCTATCCCCAAAGCCAGCAGTAGCCGATCCAGCCTTTGCCACGTGGCATTACTCTAATACAGACCTTCCTACATCTATCTTTCACTTAGAAAGACCCTGGTGATTACAAGGGGCCCCGAGATAACCCAGGATCATCTCCCCATCTCAGAGTCAGCTGGTTAGCAATCTTAAGCCCATCTGCATTCCCCCTTGCCATGTAATGTAACATATTTGCCGGTTCCAGAGATTAGGACATCTTTGGGGATCATTATCCTGCCTACCATAGACACCAGTACATACGTGTTTCATCTCTCCAGCCCTCCTCTCCCCAAGTGCCGGGGAGACGCAAGGAGGAGTGGGAAGCGGGGGCCCCTGCTTTCTCACCCTCCGCTCACATGGGAGGGGCGCGGATGTCAACCGGAGCCCGCTCCCTTCGGAGGCACCGTACCTGAGGGTAATCACTAAGTTCCCTGGCCCTGTTTCATCACATCACAGCCTGGTGCCTTCAGGCTCCCATAAAGTCCAGGGTCAAGATCCATTCTCTCTGTGAGTCCAGCCTCTGAGCGTCGCCCTCCATGGGCTCCCTTCCCTGCTCCAGTCCAGTGCCATTCCTTTCTCTAGGGTCCTAGTTTTTGGAGCCTGGCTGCCACCGGACCATTTGTTCAGTGATGCATGTGAATGGGGTGCGGCTCCTGGGGACACACGCTTCACAACCCAGCTTGTGTCCCACTCACGGCTGTAGGAGAGCGGTCTTTCTGTTGAGTCGAGGGTGTAGGATATAGGACTCCCAGTGAGACCGGAGAAGCACAAGAGGAACCTTGGCGGAAAGAGAAAAGAGTATAGCAGCGGGTGAAACTTGTGAAATAGCACAGTGGGTATTTTTAGGGCACGCACTGCATCACACCCTCTCTCCCTCAAGAAAACTGTTAGCGAAATCAGCATGGCTCATTTTGCTCAAGGCAGGCTGAGAAAGAGAATGAGGGTGGACAGTGGCAGGATGGGGTCCTGGCAGAGGGGATGAGGCATAGGGTGAGGGGTGATCAGATCCTTAGACACTGCTAGGGACTGCCAGGGGAACACAGGTGACCCCGGGCCCAAAAGTCTAGCTATACCAAGTGTCCACTGTATGGGACTTATGTGGTAGTACCCCTCATATATGCTACCGCATGGGGGTCAGACCCACAAGAGGCCCCTCCCTGGAGAACCCAGCTTATAAAACTGGTTTACAGGGCTGAGGGGGGTCTTCTGCTTCAAAGAAGTAATATTAGATCTGAGCTTGAAAGATGAGTGGAATTTACAAAGGGAGATACAAGGTAGAGAGAATAGCAAGATCAAAAAGACAGGAGGCAGCGAACCTTCAAGCTTGGTTGGACTGCAGGTGAGCTGATGGGGAATGGTGGGAAACCAGGAAGTAGCTGGACCCCAGGCTAAGCTGGTAGGGAGGCCCCTGAAGGCTTAGCGTTTGGGCAGCATGACTGAGCCCCCTTGCAAGGACCTTCCTGGCCGGGGCAGGGACCAAGGTTTGCCTGTCACCCCAGTCTGGGCTGCTGGGCATGGGGGGGGAGGGGGGAGAGGAGGGGCCTGGGGCTGCCGCAGAAGAGGCTCACTCCTGTGGTTGTGTTCCTTGTACAGGTCCCTGCTCTGTAACATCCACTTCCTGCTCCTGACCTTCATAAAGGTGCCCCTTCTTGGGGTCCTGCTGTGCACTGTGGTGTGGTTGAACAGGCATCAGAGGGACTCCAGGGGGAAATTAAGTCAGTCTGAGTGGGACCGCAGCCCCCGTGCCATCAACACCCGCACATCAGACTTGGAGAACTTTCGGAACTTTTATCAGGCACCGAGCAGTAATCGCAGTTCCAAAGAGACGAGGGTCCCTCCGCGGTGAGGACTCCCTTCGTCCTGTCCTCGGGGACACTGTGGGCTCCCTCCCTGCTCTGCGCAGCTCTGGAAACTGGCCCCCACCGCAGGATCAGAGAAAGGAACAGACGTGGTGTTTCCCGTACACACTGGGTCCTCGGAGGCACCTGTGATCTTACCTGTGTGGACCCTCCTGCTGCCTCCTCTCCTGTGACTCTGGAGTAGCTCTGCCAGAAATGACTATCACACTGTCTAGAACTCCAGCCAGTAACGGGCTTCAAAATTCCAGGCCAACCAGTAAGTGTAAAACCTGAATTAAACCAAAAAGCCTCAGAGTGTGTTTACAAGGGCAAAGACTCCTTCTCCCAGTAGGCCAGGTGTACAGAAGACTGCCGATGCCACCTTCCGTTGTATCGGTCCCTCCTGGAGAAAGAATCACCTGAATGTAGACAATTAAAGATGGGGTTGGACCATCGCCCGGCTCACGTCCGTTATGTTTGCTCTGTATGGATTTCCTGTGCTTTTTGAGATTATATTGTTTAGTACACCATATATATATATATATATTTTTTTTTTTTTTAATCTATCGGAGGATGACCCATACATTCTAGAGAATGTGAAGTGACTCTAAATCAAACGCTAGAGTTAGAATGTATCTAGCAGCTGTGCAGTGGGGAAGCTTAAAGGGGAGAGGCCTGGAAGGTATCTTTTTACCCGCTCCTAAGCCACAATTAGGACTCTGCATGTGTAGATGCCGACTTTAATTGATGGCTAGGAATGGACAAAGAAAAGCATGGGGACTATTTAAGATAATTTTTTAAAGTTATTTTCTACATCCAAAAAAGGTAACTCTTGAGGACTACATACACCTCAAAAATTATAAAGTCTTAAATGTTAGGATGCCAAATCTACATGTACTCACTAAAATTAAATATTCCATTAAAATAACTAAAGTAAATACCTTCAGCCATCTTTTTGTAAAAATAAACAATTACAGAGTCTTCACAGGCTAAGCGTACAGGTTAGTGAGTTTTTTAAAGCATAAACACCTGGGTTATTGTCATCTCAATCAAGATCTTAATAGGGGTCGTAGATAGGTGACTATAGAGTTGTGAAAATTCGTCGAGGTTACTCTCTTCCCCTCTATAATTAATAAGTGTTTTATAGGGAGGTGCTTTGAAATAATGTACATATTCTATGTCCCTGCATCTACATTGCTGGCCTTCAGGGACAGGGGACTCACCGAGGGGTCAAGACACCAAGGAAGTAGTTTAAGGGTTTCTTCATGGTTCTTTGGAACTCATCCAGGGTCACTTTTGCTATACTTGATTATCCATGGGGGCGAATATTGGTTCTTGAAGGGTGAAAAAAAATTTACTCTTTTTATATATGGAAATAAATATCTGTGTTTACAGACAAAACAGATAATTATATATTCACACACATAAATGTGTGTATATGGATATATAATATAACCATACATACAGTATATCTTCATTGTTAAAATGTCATGGGATGGGGAGATTTTTAGATGAAGGAAGTGTCTACACAGATTCCTTAGGAGGATGATAATGGGAAAAACGTTGAAGCAGTCACAGCTCCCTGCCCCAGACTTAAGGGGAGGGGACCTAAACCCCAACCCTTAACAGGAGAAGTATCAAGAAATTTTCACTCATGTTTTAGAACTGCCATATGCAAGTCTTAATCTAGCATCTTCATATCACGTATAAGAACGAGGAAAACCGTAGGGATGAAATCACTGGTTCCCAGTCACAAGGCCAGGTAGCAGAATTGAATCTGCCTTGAGCCACCCTGGGGCTGGCCCACACGCCAACCCCACAGGTCCATCTGTGCACTTGAGAAGGTCAGTTCCCAAGCCTGCTGAGGGCACCATATGGCCCCAGGCACAAACACTGGGCAGACGCAATAATGCAATTTCTCTGCTTGTATGGACTTACAGACATGTTTTGTTTTGATCACAATATGTTTTTTAATGGAGTTTGTTGCCTATATGTAAACATGAGGAATTTCGCTCTGGGCTTCTCTTTTAAAAGTGAGGTCATGATGCCACATGCTCCACATAGCCGTCATCAGAGTGTTTAAAACCTTCCGGGTGCTCCCTGGGGCCTCCAGGATACCATCGAAGCATACACATTAGAAAAGAATAAATAAAATTATCTTTTTTGCAGATGACATGATTGTCTATGTAGAAAATCCCAAGCAATCTACCAAAAAACTGCTACAACTAATAAATGCATTTAAGAGTCATAGGATACAAGATTCACACACAGACACACACACACATACACACATCATATTTTTATATACCACCAACAAGCATGTAGGAACTAAAATGAAAAATAACACTATTCACAATTGCTCCAAAAAAAAAGAAGAAATACCTGAGTATAAATCTAACGGAACATGTGTGGCATTTCTATGCTAAAAATTACAAAATGCTGATGACGGGAGTCAAAGAATATTTAAACAAACTGAGAAATGTACCATGTTTGTGGATTGGAGTAAAGATAGTAAAGATAGCTATGTTCACAACATTGATCTGTAACTTTAACACAATTCTTATCAAAATCCCAGCAAGATGTTTTTGTAGATAAAGACAAGTTTATATGTAACCATACATACAGATAATCTTATTTATTCTTTTCTATAAATATACTCTAAAATTTACATGGAAAAACGAAGGAACTAGAAGACCTAAAAACTTTTTGAAAAAGAATAAAGAGGGAGGAATTACTACTGTACCTGTACTCTGCTCTTCTAAGGAATCACTTGACTGGGTGTTAAGACTTACATAGCTATAGTTATCAAGACAGGGTGATGTGAGTGGAAAGATAGACGCATAGATCAATGGAAGAAAACACAGAACACCAAACTCCTGCTTCTTAACTACAGGGCTCCAAACGCTCTGCTTTGGTTCTGAAATCTTCAAGAGCTCCTGTTAACCTCTTCATGCATCTTCTCTTCGGAGTCAATACTCGGCTAACCCACATCTCTAGCTTCTTGCTAGACCTTTCTGCTTGGCAATCCCGGTTCCACAGAGAAAACTCAGCTCTGCCTCACCCAAGCCCACTCCTGACCTTCTTAGTTCTATAAATGGCGCCCAATTCTCCCAGTTTTCCAGGCTCGAGACCGCCATACTCCCAGACTCTTCCTTTCAGAGTATGTTACACATCTGCTAGATATGCCTTCCTAAAACACATCTATGATCCCATTTTGATCGGCTCAAATCCATCCAGATGTCTCCAGAGTTCAAATAAGAGCTGAGTCCTAAGCCTCTACTGCATGCCTTGACCTTGGCTATCCTAGGCTAGCCCCATTTGCAAAAAATCTGTTGCAAGAACGATTTCGCTCCCCTGGGATCTTAGGCACACCCATAGTGTGAGAAACGATATGTGAACGTCACAGTCAACATTTGCTGGTAGGTCCTCTACAAGTGACTATTACGATGATTATTTCCTGCCTCTCTGCTTTTACTTACACTGTTGTTCTTAATATGTCCCCTCTCTCTCTCTGTCCTGCTCCTCCCACCACCCCACTCAACTGGAATCCTACTTCCTTCTTAAATATCACCTTTCCTTGGTCTGGCCGATCTGACATGATGTTTCCCCTTGTGATGCATCTTGCCTGTGGCTCCCCTGTGGTCCTTCCCAGTCCTGCCTATGCTGTGCTGACTTGTAAGCTTACCTTTTTAAATAAAGTGCAATAGAAGCTTCTCTATTGCCATCATGGTGTTTCTATGTCTCTGTGTGTGTTTTATTAATATGATTAATATGTGCCTCTCATCAAACCGAAGTTCTCCTTCCGCATGAATCCGGGGCCAGCCCCAGCTCTCCTTGAGACACCACGAATGACCCTGTCTTTGTGGGGTCCACTCCAGGGCTCAGGGTTTAAACATTGCAGCCCTGCCTGATAACTCAGCACTCAAGGGAACTCCCAGAGAAGGGCTGGTCTAGATGCAGGTAGCTGAGTGGAGGTGGTAATTCTTTCTTGTGACAGACCGTGCAACTCCTCCCTACAAACTTCAGGCAGGGAGCAAGTGACAAGCATTCAAAAACCAACTGAGCCCTTTCCCAGGCTGGGGAAGCCCAGCGGTGGCTGTGGCATCGTGTCATCCTAATGTGGTGAAGCATCTCCTCCCCTCTGTGCCCTATACCCTGTCTTTAGAAAACTGTCTGCCTCTCCCATGAAAAGCGTTTACGGTCAACAGGTGACCCCAACCGAACTTCCCCTGAAGTGGATCAGGTGGGACTCTCCATGGGCTCTGGGCACAGGAGACCTTCCAGGTTGAAGAATTCCAGGAGGAATAGATAGGAAGGGCACTCACTGCCTCTTTCTCCTACTGCAGTGCCAACTGAACCCAGAACTTTAACTCGAAATTGCTCAGCCATGGCCACCCCAGGCAGAGATGCACAGGGCCCAACCACACACAAAGC